GATGGACACTGGGAAGAGGTAACTATGATGAGGAAGTGGGAGGGAAGCTGTTGCATTGTGGTAAACTGTGGTCAATGACATGAGACAAAGTATATGTGAATTGCTGTATGGAAAGTGAATTTGCTCTGTAAATCTTCACCCAAATCACAATAAAAAAAAATATAAAAATAAAATAAAAAAATAAAAACTTCCTTTCCTATCCTGGAAAAAAAAAGGTTGTTATGAGTCGGAATTGACTTGATGGCAGTGGGTTTGGATATTTGATTTGGTATCTCTGTTTCTAGACTTATTTCACTCTGTCAATCTACTCTTAGGGGTTGTATTAACCTCTCTCAAACACAGCTTTGATCTTAAGAGGCTCTTAGACTCAGTCACACATTCTATACACATCTGTATATGCAGCAGTCATCTACACTCTTCAGGCAGACACAATCTTGCCCCTCAAAGTTATAGGGTGTGTAAGCTGGAAAGAGAAGTACTGTAAAGATTTTCTAACTTAACCGAAGGATGAAAACAAGAGAGAGAGGAAGAATGAAACAAAGATGACGGAAACCATCAAACACGCAAGCTAAGTGAGCTGAAGTGTAGCATCCATTCCACTATATTATAATCAATATTTCATGGTTGATTCTTAGATACTCTTGCTGCCTTATTTCCCACTAGACATCCATCTTCCTTTCTCTAAAGCATATCATTCTCCAGCCCAAAACCTGTGTTCTCACAATTTTACTTAAAATACCTCAAATCTCCCTATCTTCCATTCATTATAAATAGAGAAAAGATTGAAGTTGTCAAAGCTTTCATATTACTTGGATCCACAATGAAGCCTGATGGAAACAGCAGTCGAGAAATCAGGCATCGTATTACACTGGACAAATCCGCAAAAGACCTCTTTAAAATGTTGAAGAGCAAAGATGTGTCTTTGAAGACTAAGGTGTGCCTAACCCAAGCCATGCTATTTTTCAATTGCCTAATATGAATGTGAAAGCTGGACAATGAATAAGGGAAACCGAAGAAGGGTTGATGCTTTTGAGTTGTGTTGGTGAATAATGCTGAAAGTATGATGGACCTTCAGAACTAACAAATCTGTCCTGGATGGAGTACAGTTGGAATACTTCTTGAAAGTGAGAATGGCCAGACTTCATCTCACCTATTTTGGTCATATTGTCAAAAGGGACCATTCCTTGGAGAAGGATATTATGCTTGGTAAAGTTGAGAGTCAGCAAAAAAGGAGAAGACCCTCAACAAGATGGATTTATACAGTGGCTGCAATGATGGGGTCAAGTATAGTAAGGATTATGAGGATGGTACAGAACCGGGCAGTGTTTTATACTGTTGTATAAAGGGTCACTGTAAGTTGAAGCTGACTCAATAGCACTTAACAACAACAACAACACCACCCTCCATTCAGTCTGAGATCCAAGTCAAAGTCTATAGCTATTGATATACTTGACTAGGAGTAATGTAGAGCTATATTGTTCAATAGAAATATAATATGGTCCATAGATGCAAGTTAAAATATTCTAAGAGCCACATTTAAAAAAAAAAAAAAGAGGGGGGAAAGAAACAGATGACATTAATTTAATCATATATTTTCAGCCCAGAAAAGAGAAGCTCTAGTGGTGTAGCGGTTAAGGCATTTGGTTGCTAATGAAAAGGTTAGTAGTTCAAACCCACCAGCCATTCCATGGAAGAAAGATGAGGTAGTCTACTTCCATAAAGATGTACAGCCTTGGAAAGTCCATGGGGGTTGCTAAGAGTCAAAATTAGTTCAATGGCAGTGAGAGAGTTTGGAAGGAGAAGGAATGAGCCCTGCTAGCACAGTGGTTAAGCACTCAGCCACTGACCAAAAAGTCAGTGGTTCAAACCCACCAGCCACTCTGTGGGAGAAAGATGTGGCTGTTTGCTTCCATAAAAAATTACAGCGTTGGAAATCCTATGGGGCCATCCTCCTCTGTTTATAGAGTTGCTGTATTCAGACTTGACTTGACAGTAATGAGTTTGGTTTGGTTTTGAAGGGGAAGGAACCCTGGTGGCACAGTGGTGGAGTATTCAGTTGCTAACTTAAGTCAGTGGTTCGAACCCATCAGACTCTCTATGAGAGAAAAATGTCAGTCTTTCTGTAAAGATTTACAGCATTGGAAATCAATAGAACCATTCTACTCTGGCCTATAGGATCACTATGAGTCAGAATCAACTCGATGGCACACAACAACAACAACAACATATCAAAAGATCTATTATTTCAACGTATGATCAATATAAGTAGTATTAATAAGGTAACTCATCTTTTTTTTAATGCTAAGTCTTAGATTGAGTGTGTATTTTACACACACAACACATCATAATTTGGACTTGCCACATTTAAAGAGCTCAGTAATCACATATTGTTAGTGGTTACCATATTGGACGATGTAGAACTGGAAGATCTGAGTCCTAGTCTAGGCTACACTATTTTCCACCCTTGATCAAGCTATTTGTCCTCAGTGATCCTTACCTTCCTTCCCTTAATGTCAACAGACACATAAAGACTTCTGCCCTCTCCTTCCCTCCTTATGGAAGTGATGTAAAAGTGGGATTATACATTATATATATAGTATAATTGTTATATATATAATATATAATTATTATATTATCTATTCTTTATAGGTTTGATGAAAATCACGTGAGGTCTACTACTACTCTAGTATGACCTCATTAAATTAATAACATCTTCAAAGATTTACTCTTTCCAAACAAGGTCATATTCACTGGTACAAGGGTTAAAACATCACTATATCTTTTTGAGAAACACAATTAAATTCGTAACTGAGAGACGTGACTTCTTCAGAGAGATCCAGGAAGATTTCCCTGAGAGAATGATGGTTGAGTTCAATCTGTTGGATAAGAGGAGACAAATTCAGGCAGCTGTCCCTATGATGGAAAAGTGTTCCTCATGGAGGGATGCTAGAGAGTGTAACTGGAGTAGAAGCAAGAGGAGCATGGTAAAATTTGTGTGAGTAAGTAGATATGTATCAGACTTTGTGTATATAGACATAATCAATCTGGATAATTTAAATTAAGAATTTAAATCATCACCCTAGAATCTGTTAGGTATCATCACTTCCAGAACATAAAGGGAGAAGGTATCTATAATAGGTCTTGAATCAACATGGAAAGAAGAAACAACAAGGCTCATGTTTATCTTTCTAAAGATAAATTGTACTCACACGGTAATTCACTGATTCCCAGTAGAAGAGTACAAGTTTCCTAATCCCAGACATCCACAGGGAGAAAATTTAGGCCAAAAAGACCAACTTGCCTTTTCTACCTTCCTCTTTTCTTCTCCAGGCACCTCTGGTCTTGGCAGGATGCTCATTCTTCATTAAACTATTGTGAAGGAAAGTTGTTGTCCTTGGTCATATTCAAGGATACTTCTTTGCAGACACACTCATTTACTTGTGCCTCACCAAGGAGCTCACTGGACCCCCTTCCCAAGTGCCCATCTGTGACTGTTGTCACTTGGCTAGGCAATCCTCCTAGAGACTAATCAAGCTTTGGCATCCGTTTAATGCCAAAGTTGTTATTGCAGTCACCACTAGTGGGATCTCTGTTTCTCAGCTGAGGTGAAAGCTTTCTTAGTCACAAAATGCACAGTTATGTAGTCATCTCATATGGCTAATCACACACTTGAAGAAATAACTGGATGTCTTTCTAACTAGTGAGACTTCCCTGAAATGAGCCTGCAATAATGCTCATGTGGCTAGCTGGTCTTCAGAGATCTCCAAAGATCTTCAGAGAGGAATGTGGCTTCTAACCATCTTTCCCAACATCCGACCTCCCCCTTGCCAAGATTCCTGTATCTCTTCTCCACTTCTTTACTCTTTACTTTTTCATGTTGCCTTGTCATCCTGTTTTCTTCATCCTGTCCTCACAGGAACTAGTCATTATTTTAGGTAAAATAAATTTTTAAATATGGAACTCAGCTGAGCAAAACAGAACCAAAGTTTCATTTAAGATTTGATTTTATATTTAATATTTATTCATGAGTTTTGGCAGTGACCTTTTCAGTACCTTTTTAGATAAATTTCTTAAAGGAATCTTCACATTTTATTAAACTAATTATTCATGAGACTTCCCAGAAGACTTAAAATGAGAAATGAAACTGTAACAAAACCTTTTGTGCAAATTATGAGAGGCTCTCTTCTGTTTAAATTTCAGAATGCATACACATACATGATGGGTGCATGTGTGATTGTCTTTAGATTCTTCTCTATCTGTGGAAAGCATGTAAGTACATCCTGAAGAACATACCAAAAGTTACATAAAATTGAAGGAGGGAACACCGACTATTTGACTTTAGCTGTCCTTCTGAGTCCTCATTCTGTGTCAATCAGGACTGTGGTCAACAAATTACTAGAAATCATAAGTCAAGGTTAACAAATATTAAATATAAAAATGGATCAGTAGTTTAGGTATCTTGTGATGTGTTTCCTATCATTTAGTCATTTTATTTCTTCTTTGTATTTGTTAAGAGAATTCAGCCATCAAATAAAGATGGTATCAGCTGTGAAAGCAAAAACCAACAGTTTTTCTTAATGCTCCTTTATTTCTTATTGATTTTATCTTTAATAAAGTTAAATAGCTTTACTGATAAAAAAGTATTATTTTAAAAAATAGTCACCCCTGTGTGATTTCAGTTTTCTTTACATCTTTGTTAATATGTATGCATGCATTCAACATTCAAAAAAAATTTTTAGAACAGCTTCCTTTTTTGTTACTAGCAATTCATATGCACATTCCATATATCCACATCATCAATATATTTAACATTGCATTCTGTTACTATACCATTGTTCACTGTTTAGGTTTTCTTTTTGTGAAATTCTATTTGTGGGAGAAATCTAAGCCTATTTGCTATACACCAAAAAAAGAAAAAAGTGTAGTCCTTATCATAGAGAATTAGGGAGTAAGGTAAGAGAAAAGAGAGCTAAAAAGTTTAGAGAATTACTTTTATTAATTTGGTGAAAAAGAACATTTTGGAGTAGACTTTCTCTATGCTTAATCGTTTTAGAACAATATATTGTAGGAAGCAATTTTCATATGATATCCTTAAGAATCATTCTTAGGCCAACCTGCTTAAATATTATTTACTTCCCAAGTCTTCCATGACTTAATAAATGGAAATCTTCTCTCTCCTCCCCTTTCTCCCTCCCCAAACACAGGTAACATTAAAGATGCTGCTCCTGACAGTAGTAGTCAGCATGTACAAAAGCTTCTTTATCATAGTAGGAATGTTCTTATTGCTGCTGTGTTATGCTTTTGCTGGAGTTGTTTTATTTGGTACTGTGAAATATGGCGAGAATATTAACAGGTTGGTGCATATTTAAATATTTGTTCATTTGTCAAGGAAACGTTTTTAGTTGCAAGATCATAAACAAAAATCTGAGTTTTTAAGGATAGGAAAATTTGGAAACAGACTATGGTGTAGTTGCACATAAAGGTAAAAATAATTAATGTCACTGAACTGGACATATGAAAAGTGTTGAAATGGAAAATGTTTGTTATAGATATTTTACACAATAAAAGAATGAATTGAAATAATAATAATCTGAATTTTCTTCCTTTTTGTCTATTAAAGATGAGAGGAGGAAAGCAATGAATTGGAGATAAAAGAAATAATTTTCTCACATTTTAAATACCATTTTTCTAATTGAAAAAGACCTGCATCTTTACTCTGAAACTTAGAAAATTCAGAAGTAAGAGAAAACAAAAATTGTCCGCTAGTCCACCACTCAGGGGTAGCCTCTGCCAATATCCTGATGAATTACAGCATTTTTTCTACCCACATGTTGCTAATGTTGTTGTTGTTAGGTGCTGCCGAGTCAGTCACTACTCATAGCAACCTTTTGTACAACAGAATGAAACACTGCCTGATCCAGCACCATCATCACAATCATTGCTATGTTTAAGCCCATTGTTGCAAGGTCTCATTTAGGGTCTTTCTCTTTTTTTGCTGACTCTCTACTTTACCAAACATTAGATCCTTTTCCAGGGACTGTTTCTTCCTGACAACATAATCAAAGTCCCGGAGGTGAACTCTTGCCATCTCACTTCTAAGGTGCATTATTACTCTACTTCATCCAAGACTGTTTGTTCTGGCATTCCATAGTACATTCAATATTCTTCTCCAACACCATGATTCAAATGCATCAATTCTTCAGTTTTCCTTATTCATTGTTCAGATTTTGCATGTGTATGAGGTGATTCAAAATATCATGGCTTGGGTCAGGTGCACCTTATTCCTCAGTGTGACACCTTTGCTCTTTACACTTTAAGGAGGACTTTTGCAGCACTTTTACCCAGTGCAATATGTCATTTGATCTCCTGACTGCTGCTTCCATAAGCCTTGATTATGGATCCAAGTAAAATAAAATCCTTGGCAACTTCAATCTTTTCTCCACTCATCATGATGTTGCTTTTTGGTCTGGTTGTGAAGATTTTTGTTTTATGTTGAGATGTAATCCATACTGAAGACTGTAGTCTTTAATCTTCTTCAGTAAGTGCTTCAAGCCTTCTTCACCTTCAGCAAGCATGGTTGTGTCATCTGCATATTGCAGGTTGTTAATGAGTCATGTGCTTTTGTTCATACAGTCCAGCTTCTGCTGTTATTTGTTCAGTCAGCAAACAGACTGAATAACGAAGGTGAAATGATACAACTCTGACACACACCCTTCCTGATTTTAAATCATGCAGTATCCCCTTGTTCTGTTTGAATGACTGCCCCTTGTTCTATATAATTTCCTCATCAGCACAATTACATGTTCTTGAGTTCCCATTCTTTGTAATGTTATCTATAATTTGCTATGATGTATAGTCAAATACCTTTTAACAGTTAGTAAAATATAGGTAAACATCTTTCTGATATTTTCTCCTTTCAGCCAAGATCTATCTGACATCAGCAATGATATCCCTCCTTCCACATCCTCTTCTGAATCCAGCTTGGATTTCTGGAAGTTCCCAGTCGATGTACTGCTGCAACTGTTTTTGAATTATTTTCAGTAAAAGTTTACTTGCATGTGATAATAATGATATTGTTTGACAATTTCGGCATTCTGTTGTATCACCTTTCTTTGGGATGGGCTCAAATATGGATCTCTTCCAGTCAGTTGCCCAGGTACTTGGCTTTCAAATTTTGTGGCATAGATGAGTGAGCGCTTCCAGTGTTATATCTGTTTATTGAAACATCTTGATTGGTATTCCATCAATTCCTGGTGCCTTTTTTTTTCTTTTTTCCAGTACATTCAGTGTAGCCTGGACTTCTTCCTTCAATACCATCAGTTCTTGATCATCTGTTACATCTTGAAATGGTTGGACATTGGCCAGTTGTTTTTGATACAGTGACTCTATATTCCTTCCAGCTTCCTTCACTGCTTCCTGCACTGTTCAGTATTTTTCCTATAAGATCTTTCAATATTGCAACTCGAGGCTTGAATTTTCTTCAGTTCTATGTATGTCATCTGGCAAGGTCTATGTGTATGGTCACCGTTTATGTTGTTGAAAAGAGTATTTGCAGTGAATAAGTAGTTGGTCTTGCAAAATTCTATCATGAGATTGTCAGTGTTGTTTCTATCACCAAGGCCATATTTTCCAATTACTGATGCTACTTCTTTGTTTCCAACTTTCATATTCCAATTGGTAATTCCCAATGCATCTTGATTGTATGTTTGATCAGTTTCAGACTACAGAAGTTGGTAAAACCCTTCAATTTCTTCATCATTTGTTTTAGTGGTTGGTGCACAAATTTGAATAATAGTCATATTAATTGGTCTTTCCTATTTGGGTATGGATATTATCCTGTTACTGACAGCATTGTACTTCAGGACAGATCCTGAAATGTTCTTTATGAATGTGGTGCAATTCTTCTTCAATTTTTTATTCCGAGCATACTAGACCATATGATTGTCTGGTTCAAAATGGCCAATACCAACCCATTTCAGCTCATTATTGCCTAGCATATTGATCTTTGTGTGTTACAATTCATTTTTGAGAACTTATAACTTTCCTAGGGGAGCTCTGGTAGCAGAGTGGCTAAGGCACTTGACTGCTAGCCAGAAGGCTGGCGGTTCAAACCCACCAGCCACTCCTCTGAAGGAAGATGGGGCAATCTACTTCCGTAGTGATACTGCCTCGGAAACCCAAGGAGGGGTCGCTATGAGTTGGGTCCGAATTGACGGCACATAACAACAACAACAACAAATACAAATTTTCCTAGATTCATACTTCGTACATACCACATTCAAATTATTAATGGATAATGTAGCTGTTTCATCTCATTTTGAGTTGTACCACATCAGCAAATGAAGGTCTCAAAAGTTTTACTCCATCCATGTCATTAAGTTTGATTCTGATTTAAGGAGGCAGTTTTCCCTAGTCATGTTTTGTGTGCCTTCCAGCCTGGGAGGTTCATCTTCTCACACTGTATCAGGCAATGTTCTACTGTTATTCATAAGGTTTTCAGCTAAAGAAAGCCTTTTTTTTTTTTTATAGAAATAGATAGCCATGTCCTTCTTCTCCATCTTCTTAGTCTGGAAACTCTTCTGAAACCTATCCACAATGGGTGACCCTGCTAGTAGTTTAAATACCAATGGCATAGTTTCCAGCATCACAGCAACATGTAAGCCACCATACTCTAACAAACTGAAAGATGAGTCATGGCACATTGCTTTTATGTGTGTGTGTGTATATATAAATTACGGGTATATATATATATATATATGTACATAGGAGCTCTGGTGGCATAGTGCCTAAGGCATTTGACTGCTAACCAGAAGGCTGAAGGTTCAAATCCACCAGCCACCAGTCACTCCTTGGAAAGAAGGTTGGGCAATCTACTTCTGTAGAGACATTGCCTCGGAAATCCAAGGAGGGGTTGCTATGGGTCAGGATTGACTCAACAGCAGTGAGGTTTTTTTCTCTTATGTATATATATGTACATACACACACAGACACATACATATATATGTACATGTACACACAGATATATACATATATATATATACATGTGTATGTATCTGTGTGTATGTACTTATATATATATAATTATTATTTTAGATTGAATAATTTTGAGTATCTCAAGGGCTCAAGTATAGCAAGGATTGTGGGGATAGATCACAACTGGGTGATGTTTTGTTCTGTTGCACATAGGTTCACTATGCGTTGGAGTTGACTTGATGGCACCTAAAAACAGTTTTGAGTTGGCTTTGTTTTTGTTTGTTTGTTTTAGCCAAACATGGGAAGATAAAACCACCCACAAAGGCTGTTATATGTGAAAAGTATTTTCAAAGATTGTCTTGAGTTTTATGGAAGTGTCTCATAGTTTTAAAAAAATAGTAATAAAGTCCTAACACAACTAAGTGTACATAAATGTGTCTAATTGCAGAAATTGCTTATTATTTAATACATATTTGCTATACCTTTTAGAGCACGTGTGAAATAATGAATCCTTTTGAATCAGCAAGGTTTGCTCATTCAGTCATTCAAGATATATGGCAATAAACTGGTGAGGCTGTGGTAGGCATGAGTTGTTTAGACAGCTAACAGAATGGGGGCAAGTACAAATAAACAAATAAGTGCATGCAATTTTTGGAAATGGTAACATTAGAAACCAAATCTGCTGCAAAATCCACCTATTTTGATGGTAGCAAACTCATATTCAGATTTTTTTTTCCTGAAATTAGGCATGCAAACTTTTCTTCAGCTGGCAAAGCTATCACTGTGTTGTTTCGCATTGTCACAGGAGAAGATTGGAACAAAATTATGCATGACTGTATGGTAAGTATCTTTTCATTACTAACACTGCCTCGACTTAGAATCAGGGAACTCTTTGGCAGTACATTATTAGTAACGTGAAGTCTCTGGTTCAAAATATGTGTCCCAGCCTTTCAGTCCATAAAATTACATTATTTTACATTACAAGATAAATCTACATAGAAAGACATTCACTTACCCAACTTGAGCTGTTGTAGAGCCAATCAACAAACATACATCAGGTGAGCATTGCTCTTCCACGCCCATCTTTAACCTTTTTGCAGTCAAGCATAAACAGGGGAGCTCTACTTCTTTCATTTATTCAGCAGCAGTCCACTGAGCTCCTGGTTTGTTCCGGCCATATGCTGGTGCTAAGTCTTCAACAATTCCAAGACATTCTCAAGGAGCTTAGGTCAAAGGTTTTGATCTGTTCTCCCTTTGGTATCCACCTTTCACTGAGTTAATTTTCCATCATCTTTCATTTTTCAGGTCATAGATTTAAACATTTGTTTCTTAAGGAATCCAGCCCTCTGAAAACTGCCCATTCTGTGTTCTTAAAGTCAATAAACCAAGTAGAGCCTAGTGGATTCTGACTAATGGTGACCCCATGTGTGTCAGAGACGAATTCTTCTCTGTAGGGTTTTTAATGGATAATTTTCAAAAATTGCCCTCCAGGACTTTCTTCTCAGGTGCCTCTGGGTGGAATCACAACTCCAGCCTTTGAGTTAGCTAGCAGCCAATGCATTAACCGTTTGCACCACTCAGGGACTCCTTTGTGTTCTTACTCACCCACTTCCATCAAGTTGTTCTGACTTATAGAATAGAGCTACCTCCACAGGATTTCCAAGGCGTAACTCTTTATTGAAGCAGACTGCCAAATCTTTCTCCCATGGAGCAGCTGGTGGTTTTGAACCACCAACATTTTATTTAGCAGCCAAGCACTTAAGCATCGTGCCACCAAGGCTCCTTGGCTTAATGATTTTATTTAATATCTTTCTTTCCCTCTGTACCAGTGCTGTCCAACAGGAAGTTCTCCAATGATGGAAATGTTCTGTATCTATGCTGTCTAGTTAATGAATCCCTAGGCATATGTGGCTACTGAGAACTTGAAATGTTGCTAGTGTGACTGAGGAACTAAATGTTTTATTTTATTTTATGTTAATTAACTTTAATCTACATGTAAATTTAAATAGTAACATGTAGCTAGCAGTTAGTATGTTGGACAATGAAGCTCTAGACAGTGTCTACGTCATTCCCTAGACTGGTTTCCCCATGTTTACCAGTGTATCCCCAACACTTGGGACAAGCCTAGTTCACAGTAGCTATTAATTCATGAATGAATATGGATAGAATTGAACAAATCCAATATAATACAAGACAGAATTAAGTAAATTCTCAATAACAGTATAAGCAGAATACTATGGCAATGTAAAGAAAGAAATAGCTAGGGTTTTTTTTTCCCCCTTTCTTTAAGAGAAACCAGGAAGGTTTCTCAGAGATGGTGGCATTTTATTGGGCTACTGAATAATTGTAAGACTATGATTTTGAGTCCTATGCTATTCATTAACCTTCCATAACTTCTCCAGGAATGGAGATTACTGGTATCTCCTTAAATAATTTCAAGATGAATTTATGTAAATTTTATATGAATTTATATAATAAATTATATATAATGATTATGAATTTATATTATAAATTATACATAATCTTCCTTCCTATAGTTTAATCCAATGTTTAAATCAGAAAAATTTATCTTAAAAAATGCCTTTTCATTTGGAGACTTTTTGTGATTGGCACAACAGTGATACTATCTCACTTGGAGATAGTAGAGGTGGCAAAAATGTATCCAGTTGAGAGAATCAGTTAATTTCTACTGTGATTCTAGAATTAGCAATGAATTTGAGATTCTTTAGGATTAGAAGCATAGAATAAACGAAATATTACTTTTGATTTTGCTATAGCTCCTGTACCAAGGTACGTAGCTTTGGCAAGATTACTTTGATGTTAATTATATTTTGTACAGTTAAGAGTATGTTCATTAGCTGCAGCTAACAGAAATTGTATTCTTCTCTGCTTTCACCCTCTCCTCTCTCTTCTGCCCACTGGTCCAAAGGTTCAGCCTCCTTTTTGTACTCCAGATGAATTTACGTACTGGGCAACAGACTGTGGAAATTATGCTGGGGCACTTATGTATTTCTGTTCATTTTATGTCATCATTGCCTACATCATGCTAAATCTGCTTGTAGGTAAGTGATGTTCATTGAATATTTTTTAATATCTTTACACACAGGTACTTAGATAATTATGTACAATTTTCAAGTAATTATCCTGGATCGCTTGGGGTGGGTATTTCATGGCATTAATTATAAATTGTTGCCTCTCAATCCAAAAGCTGAAAAGACCTTTGAAAGGTATGTAAATGACAGTTGATTGCAATTTCAAGAGTTGTACTATTTATTATGATCATTAATTTCAAAAGAGCTCTTCTTGTAGATTGAGTTGAACAAATATCAGGAAGGGCTACCTTTTCAGCCTCAAAATGTCACATTTATGTTTTTGAAAGGCACACATTCACTCAGCTTTGGGGCCACACAGAACTCAATTTGACCTTTAAAACGCGCCCTGGAACGCTCAACTAAGAGCTGAAGCCAGCTGGCATGAGTAGCTAGATACACAGAGTGTGTGTTGTGCTCTTGACCCTCATGTTTTGGAAAGGCATGAGCTGCATAAATAGCTTAGTCCAAGTGTAAAACATTCCAATTTGGAAACTGTACTGAAAGCACTTTAAAAATGTGGTTTATAATGGAGGTGATAAAATCTATTACTTATAATAGGTGTTTTACTTTCTCTACAAAATGACATACTCACAGAATTATCTAATCTCTAAATTTTTCTTTTGTTTCATTTTTTCTCCCCTAGCTATAATTGTGGAGAATTTCTCCTTGTTTTATTCCACTGAGGAGGACCAGCTTTTAAGTTATAATGATCTTCGTCATTTTCAAATCATATGGAATATGGTGGATGATAAAAGAGAGGTAGGGGAATAGATTGCTGTTTCACCCCTGCACCGGTAGACTTACTGTCATATCTCAAACATTTAGATGTCTTTGTCATTGGCAATTAACATATACTGGATTTTGAATGGCTATTTCTGAACCGTAGAAGTCTGTCATTGACACTTCAACAGAATATTCAAGGAGGGAAGGGGAAAAATTGTTTCTCTTCATGTCAAACCATGAACATCATCTTTTTCAAACTTTCAGAAGATAAGCAAAGAAACAAAGCCAAGAGAGAATGGAAAAAATCAACCTTGGGCTTAGGGCAGGAGGAAAAAGTAAAATTAAAACTACCAAGAGGCCAGTATATTATATGTTCATGATTACTTCAACATAAAACAGTCACCATGATTAAAAGTATAATTGAGTTAAGTGGGATCTAGAAGCTACTATTTTCAATTAATTTTGAGTTATTACTTGAAAATGGTAATCATCAAACTTGCCCAAGGTATTCTGGAATTAGCCAAAGCAGCTGCTGTTACTTCTTCTCCTCCTCTTCCTTCTTCAACCAAGAAAACACTCAGGCAAAGTGTTTATGGCACTGAGGATATAGCAATGAGCAGAATGAAAAGACCTCCCAGACTCATAGTGCTCACATTCTAACTGTGAATAACAAAAAATAAACATTGAAATAACAACAACTTCAAGAAGTGATAAAAGCAAGAGATGTAAATACTATTACATATACAATCTGGCAATAACATTGTTAACAATAATTTACAAGTGGATATACAGATAGGCATGAAAGCTGAACAGGTATATGAAAGTGAATGGGACTACATGCATGAGTATACATATATATATAGGTTTGAAAGAAATATTTCTACATATGTATTTATATGTGCTGCTAATATGTCCAGGAATATTGTAGAATATACAGGGTGCAAAGTTATGAAAATGTCTTAGCTATAACCAAATACCTTGAGGGAATTAGTCACTGGCCATAGAGGCACAAGACCATAGTTTCAGGGGACATGACGGTCAATTGGCACAACATAGTCCAAAAAGAAAATGTTCTATATCCAACTTTGGTGAGTAGTGTTTGAGACTTAAAAGCTTTGTATGGCTATCTAAGGTGAAACTATTGATCTCTTCCAATCCAGAGTAAAGAAGAGTGAAGAAAATCAAAGATGCACAGAACCATTAGTCCAAAGGCCTAATGGAGTATACAATTCTTGGCCTCCATATCTCTGAGACTAAAGAAGTAAATGGTACCCAGCTCCCATCACCAATTCTGAAAGGGATCACATTAGAAGGCCCTGGATAGAGTGGAAGAAAAATGTGGAACAAAACTCAAAACTATAAAAAAGATGAGGATCAGTCAGACAGAGACTGATGTCACCGAGACTATGGCTGTTAGTCACCTTTCAAGCCTAGAACTGAACTTACCCTTGTGGGCCAACTTTCAGCCACACAACAGACAGGATGTCTTAGGCTAAATTCTCTAGAGAAGCAAAGGTAAATCGTGTAGAGAAGCAAATTTTTCTATCTATCTATCTGTCTATCTGTCCATCTCACAGCAACATTCAAGCCAACACAGTATGACAAATTGACAGACTAGCAGGGTCAGCCATGTTGAACAGGTTTCAGTAGAGTTTCCAGACTAAGAAAGACTCAGAAGAAGGAAAGAGCCATCCATTTCTCAAAGAATTGGCCAGGGAAAACCTTATGAATAGCAGTGAAATATTGTCTGATATATTTCTGGAAAACTTTATGAATAGACCTGAAACATTGTCTGATACAGCGCCGGAAGATGAGCCCCTCAGTTTAGAACACATTCAAAATATGACTGGGAAAGAGCTTCCTCCTCAAAGTAGAGTCCACCTTAATGATGTGGATGGATAAAATTTTGGGACCTCCATTTGCTGATGTGGTACAACTCATCATGTATACATGGAGTGTGTGAAATATGACTCTAGTAAAATTGGAAGTTGCCAAAAAAGAAGTGGAACACATAAAGACCTATATCCTAGGTGTTAGTGAGCTAAAATGGACTGCTTTTGGCCATTTTGAATCAGACAACCATATGATCTACTATGCTGAAAATGAAAATTTGAAGAGAAATGGTGTGGCATTCATCATCACAAAGACTATTTCAGGATCTGCCCTGATGTACAATGCTATCAGTGATAGGATAATAGCCATATGCCTAAAAGGAAGACCAGTTAATACTACTATTATGCTAATTTACACACCAACCACCAAAGCCATAGAGGAGGAAATAGAAGATTTTGCCAACTTATGCAGCCTGAAATTGGCCGAATATGCAATCAAGATGTGTTGATTATCACTGGTGATAGGAATACAAAACAAAGAAAAATTACCAGTAGTTGGAGCATATGGCCTTGGTAATGGAAATGATGTTGGAGATTGCATGATAGAATTTTGCAAGACCAGCAACTGATTCATTGCAAACACCTGTTTTCAACAACATAAACAGCAGCTATACATGTGGACTTCACCAGATGGAGTACACAGGAATCAGACTGATACATCTGTGGAAAGAGGCAATGGAGAAGCTCAATGTCTTCAGCCAAAACAAGGCCAGGAGCTGACTGTGGAACAGACCATCAACTACTCATATACAAGTTCAAGTTGAAGCTGAAGACAATTAAAAGAAATCCATGAGAGCCAAAATATGACCTTGATTATATCCCTCCTGAACTTAGAGACCATCTAAAGAATAGATTTGATGCATTGAACAGTGACTGAAAACTGGAGGAATTGTGGGATGACATCAAGAACATCATCCATGAAGAAAGCAAAAAAAGAAAAAACCAACAAACTCACTGCTGTTGAGTCGGGTTTGACCCATAGCAACCACTCCTTGGGTTTCTGAGGCAGTATCACTATAGAAGTAGATTGCCCAATCTTTCTTCTGAGGTGTGGCTGGTGTGTTTGAAACAACAGCCTTCTGGTTAGCAGTCAAATGCCTTAGGAGACAGGAAAGGAAGGAAAGACTAAAATTGATGTAAAAAGAGACTCTGAAATGTGTTCTTGAAGGGAGAGTAGCTAAAGCAAATGGAAGAAATGACAAGATAAAACAGCTGGATGGAAGTCATCAAAGAAGAGCTTGAGAAGACAAAGTCAATTATTATAATGAAATGTGCAAAGACTTGGAATTAGAGAACCAAAAGAGAAGAACATGCTCAGCATTTCTCAAGCTGAAAGAATCGTAGAAAAAATTCAAGCCTTGAGTTGCAATATTGAAAAATTCTATGGGCAAAATATTGAATGATGCAGGAAACATCAAAAGGAGATGGAAGGAATACACAGAATCACTATACCAAAAAGGATTGGTTGATGTTCATCCATTTCAGGAGGTGGCATATGATCAAGAATCAACAGTATTGAAGGAAGAATTACAAACTCCACTGAAGGAACTGATGAAAAATAAGACTTCAAAAATTTATGGAATACCCATTAAGATGTTTCAACAAATGGATGTGGTGCTGGAGGCACTTACTCATCTATGCCAAGAAATTTAGAAGACAGCTACCTGGCCAACTGACTGGAAGAGTTCATATTTGTACACATTCCAAAGAAAGGTGATCCCACAGTGTGGAAAGTATCGAACAATATCATTAATACCACATGCAAGTAAATTCTTGCTGAAGATAATTCAAAAACAGTTGCAGCAGTATATTGACAGAGAACTTCCAGATATGCAAGCTGGATTCAGAAGAGGACATGAAACAAGGGTTATCATTGCTAATGTTACATGAATCTTGGCTGAAAGCAAACAATTTCAGAAAGATGTTTACTTTTTTTACTGATTATGCAAAAGTGTTCGATTGTGTGGATCATAACAAATTATGGATAACATTGAGAAGAATGGGAATTTCAGAACACTTAATTGTGCTCATGAAGAACCTGTACATGGACCAGGAGGCTGTCATTCAAACAGAACAAGGAAATACTGCAGGTTTAAAATCAGGAAGGGAGTGTGTCATGGTTGTGTCATTTCACCATACGTATTCAATTTGTATGCTGAGCAAATAATCTGAGAAGCTGGACTATATGAAGAAGATCATGACATCAGGATTGCAGGAAGACTCATTAATAACCTGTGATATGCACACAACACAACTTTGTTTACTGAAAGTGAAGATAACTTGAAGCACTTACTAATGAAGATTAGAGACTACAGCCTTCACTATGGATTACACCTCAAAATAAAAAAAATGAAAATCCTCACAAATGGACCAATAAGCAGCATCATGGTAAATGGAGAAAAAATTGAAGTTGTCAAAGACTTTGTATTACTGGGTTCTAAAATCAACACCAATGGAAGCAGCAGCCAAGACATCAGACGAAGTATTACATTGGGCAAATCTGCTGCAAAAGACCTCTTTCAAATGCTGAGAAGCAAAGATGACTCCTTGAAGAGTAAGGTGCTCCTAGCCCAGCCATGGTATTTTCAATACCCTCATGTTGTTGTTGTTGTTGTTATGTGCCCTCGAGCCAGACCTGACTCATAGCGACCCCTCCTTGGGTTTCTGAGGCAGTATCACTATGGAAGTAGATTGCCCCATCTTCCTTCAGAGGAGTGGCTGGTGGGCTGGAACCGCCAGCCTTCTGGTTAGCAGTCAAGTGCCTTAGGCACTATGCTACCAGAGCTCCCAGCCTCATATGCATGTCAAAGCTGGACAGTGAATAATGAAGGCCAAAGAATAGTTAGGAGCTCTGGTGGCCTAGTGCCTAAGGCATTTGACTGTTAATCAGAAGGTTGGTGGTTCAAACCTACCAGCTACTCCTCCGAAGGAAGCTTGGGCAATCTACTTCCATAGTGATACTGCCTCAGAAACCCAAGGAGGGGTCACTATGAGTCATTGATGAGTAGTTATGAGTAGTTAAGTAGTTATAAGTAGTTACGAGTAGTACACTATGAGTAGTTGATGCTTTTGAGTAGTAGTGTTAGCAAAGAATGCTGAAAGTACCAGGGACTGCCTGAAGAACTACCAAATCTGTCCTGGAAGAAGTGCAGATGGAATGCTACTTGGAAGCAAAAATGGCCAGACTTCCTCTCACTTACTTTGGTCATGTTGTCTAAAGGCACCATTCCCTCTAGAAGGATATCATGCTCGGTAAAGTGGAGGTTCAACAAAAAAGGGGAAGGACTTCAACAACACAGTGGCTGCAACCATCAGCTCAGGAATAGCAAGGACTGTGGGGCTGATACAGGACCGGACAGTGTTTCTTTCTATTGTTCATAGGGTCACTATGAGTTGGAGCTAACTCAATGGCACCTAACAACAACTATCTATCTATCTATCTATCTATCTATCTATCTATCTATCTATGGGGGGAGAGAGAGAGAGAGAGAGAGATTTATGTCAAAGAAGTGGCTCATGTAGTTGTAGATACTGGTAAGTCCAAAGTTCATGGGTCATATATGAAGCTGGAATCTTCTCCTGACTCATGCAACCATAGGGACTGACAAACCCAAGATCAGTAGGCAAAACAGTAGGCTGCTGATATCAGGGGTAGATGATTCCAAGATTTGCAGGTAAAATGACAGGCTGTTGGTTCACAAGTTGTGATGGCAACAATGCCAAGATCAGCAGGCAATATGGCAGGCCATTGGTTCAAGTCCAGATGATGATGAGCTAGGTGCATAATCTCAAGCTAAAGGCCAGAGCACTTTGCCAGAGCTTTTCCATATATATATATTAGAAGCAGGGCATACCCCAAAGGATTCTTCCTTTCAACTGATTAACTGCTAATAGCAGATCTCAGCATGGAGGTGATTACATTATGTTAGATCTCATCATAAGGGATAACTGCATCATAATTGCTAAATGACTTAAACTCATGGCCCTGCCATTCTGACACACAATATAGCATACAGATGTATAAGGTGAACATGAACACCAGGTAGGTACACACTCCTTTAAAAAAAAAAAATTCAACCATTCAAGATTGAAGGAGTCACATTTGCCTAGGAACAAAGTTCAAAAGGCAGGAAGAGATAAGAAAGAAGAATGGAAATGGAAAATACAGGGAGGAAGTGTGTTGAGTGACGATGTTACACTGTGGGGATTGCAATCAATGGCGTGAAACAAAATGTGAATAAATTGTGGAATGGAAAACTGATTTGTTCTGTAAACCTTCATCCAAATCACAATAAGAAGTTAAGAAAAAAAAAAAAGGGATAAACAAGGAAAAAAAAAAACCTGCAATATCTGGGGATAGGGCACTAAGAGAAGAAAAATAGAGAAGGAGAATAATGAAGAAAAAATGGGAAAAATACAAAAAGAAAAACAAGGAATGGGATTAACCATGAGAAAAAAAGAGGGGAAAATAATTAAATTTTTTTAAAAAAATTTTTCAACCAGGAACAGGGAAAAAGAAAAAAGCTGACAACTAGGACCTGGGAGGGGAAGACTAAGGAATAATAGTAAAAAGGACAAAAGTATTAATAATAATAGTAGTTTTAAAACAGACAAATGCAAGCAAACTAAACACCAGAAAAAAGAAAGAAAAAAAAATAAAAATAAAAATAAAATAAAATT